CCCCAAAACCCCAAAACCCCAAAACCCCAAGATCAAAGATTTAATTTGAATATTATTTTAGCAAAATGGTAAGCTTTCTTAGTTCTTGCTGAAGTCTTGTGTAGAAATCAAAAGTCACACCAGATCCAAAATCTCCTGTGGAGCTAAAAAATTTCGGTATCTTTACTGCCAAGAATACAAAGGTGGTGAAGTTAACAGCTGAGAATAAATTTCGTAATACTAGATTTAACAATTCTTCCTATTTTGTAAGATGAGAACTAATTTTAGCCGAAACCTAGAGCAGCTAGTAATCCTAAAAGCAGACTCAACTCAATGGTAAGAGCAAGAATAAGTGTAGAAAACATCCTTTGAGAAATTAAGACACAGGCCTCGGGCTTTGAATTACTTTCAGAATTCCTCTCAATATAATTTCTTGCAAGAACTTTCTGAAGGTAATACTTAAAACTTTAGATTTAGGCTCTCCGGATCCAAGCTCGAGAAATAGATCAGTCATGCACAAACGAATCAACAAGTTAAGGTCTTGCTTGCTCACTAATTACAAAGTTGATGGTTGCCATTCCTCTTTGAACGAAGTTATTAAAGAAAATCAACAGCTCAGAGCTTTGAACCAAAAATTAGTTGACAAACTCGAAGATGCTGATAAATAAATTGTTCAGTGCAGTCACAGATGCAGTAATGGGAAAACCTATTATGAGGCAGTTGACTGGCACTAGCTACTCATTTGGTAACCTAAATGGTTAATTCAAGCAGCTTTAAAGCAGTCTCAGATGGCAGCAAATGATATAAAAGCAAATACAAATAAACTTATCAGAGAACTCAAGCTCTCTTTCACAGAACAAATTGAGGAGCTTCAAGAACAACTAGCGTCAGTGAGTCATGAATGCGTTAAGCATCGTAAGAAAAGTCTAACCAGTAGAGGAGAATCACCAAAAAGTCCTACAAGATTTCTCAAACTACATCAGAAACACAACTGTGATCATTAAGCAGCAGAAACTGTTCAAGTAATCTCATTCGTAAGTATAGGTGGAAAGCCAGGAACAGAGCAGCTATTAAGAATGACCAGAAGAAAGCTAAAGAGCTTGCCCAGGAATCAGCTGCGATCAGTATTTTCCTACTAATTTTAGAAAACATATTCTCAGGCATGGCCAAGAAGATAGAAGAGCAGAGGTAAAAATATTATAGGTATTTCTTAGCCTGAGCCTATAGATCTCTCCAGAGAGCTGGAGATATACAAAGGAGGCAACAAGAAAGTCCAGGATATTGACATCAATGTGCTACACACTAAACTGGCTTCTCTCCAGTCCAAGCTTGATTACTCTGAGAAATGGAGGAATGCTCTGGAAGAAGCACTGGCTAAAGCCTTAAATACTAAGAGAAAAGATGTCAAAATGGCAACTAAGCCTGGAGACCCTTTGAATTTGAAATAACCTAACTGGGAAGAATGTCATGACCAAAAGTGGAAGAATGAATATCCCTAACAAGAATTTTCCAGTAAAACTAGAATTGTTTGAATATGAAAAACCTGAATCCCCAGCAAAGAACTATGAGAAGAGGAGTAAGTCTTCTTTATGATTATAGGTTCCTTCAAAGAAAGACCTGAGTATGAAAAAGCATTGCAGAATGAGTTCAATTTTCCAGAATAAAATTCAACTTGTATTGTTTGCTGTGGGGTTTTGGGGTTTTGGGGTTTTGGGGG